TGTAAGTAATTAAAAATTAAAACATAAATCTTGTTAATAATTTCATATCTGCTTATAAGAAAATTTAAAACATTCATTGCCCTTTGTAGGAACTAGGAGGTGTGAATAATAATTTTATTGGGTGTTTATCATGCTCTGTTTCAATTCAAATACCGTAAAATTGTCATAAATTATAAAATCAAAGTGACAGTTTATATACATAACATATAAATAAAAAATATCTAATTTTAGTAAGAAAATATAATATAAATATAGTGAATAACAGAATAGACAAAATGAATAAAAAAAAATATGTTAAATAATATTATGGTTATGTAGGTCAATATAACGAAATTGTGTTGAAATCAAAAACCTGACAAGTTACCAATAATTAAACTTAATACAACTATATTCATAATTTATTTGCTTAATTTATTTGAAACATGGAATAACTATCCATGAATCATAATGTAATACTATGATTACGTCGTATTTATGCTATTTTTGTTTCTGTCTATGCACAAACTGGGGTGGATTACCCACACGCGCAAAAGTGTAAATTAACAACAAGTTTAGTGCTACCCACATTCACCACATCACCACGGAAACTACCACCACACTTAGTCTATGAGTATAAGGCGTAGATAAAAATAATTCAGTGAAAATCACAAGCAGATTATTATATTTTGACCACTTAATATAAAGTTTGTACCACCAATACCGCACGTATAGCTATAACCAGGTACACATGTAATATTTTATTGTATCCGACAGGTAAACAACAACCGACGTCATAATGTTTATCTATGCATACCTAAACTATACTTAATGTTTGTGCTRAACGCCGATTCTATTGGCTTAGATTTTAGATAGCTTGCGACTTGTCGATTGTTTAGTACCTATTAATAATTATGTAGGTATCTACTAATGATATCGAATCTTTATGATATTAATTATTACCTATTTTTTCGGACTGCACACAACTGTATGACATTATAGGAATGTATTATGCATTATGTTTAATATGTAATTAACATCTAATAGGCTCGTAAAAACAGTACAGTTTTGATTTTTGACAATGAATTAGAATGACTTTAACGGGGTAACATCCATCACAAACAGATAATATTAATAAAACYGGGCGGTTTGCGTTTGGGCGAATTGCCTTCTTACCCGTATAATAAAAGTAATATGTTTGGGCTTATATAATTGTCGAGCTATAATAGTTTTTACTGGAAGCTAATAAAAAAAAAAAAAAATAAGTTTGAGTGAGTTAACCGAATTTCTTATAATGTGTTTGGGCGAGACATTATATTTTTTAGTCCTGAATTTTGTGATCGGGATTATCATTTTTCGTATTTTGTTTATCATTTATCTTTAGATTGGATCTAACTAGTGAGCGAAGGTCGTTGTTCAACGTAGTACTGAGGATTCAATACTATTAAACAAGTGATTGACG